GTGGTGTGTATGTGCATGAGAGAGTGTGTGTGTCTGTGTTTGTGTATGTGCGAGAGTGTGTGTGTATGCATGTGTATATGTGTGTGAGTGTTTGTGTGTGTGCGTGCCTATTTTTGTGTATGTTATTGTGAGAGAGGAGGAAAGGATGGACAGAGAAGAGATGGGAGATTTTCAGCAGAGAACGTCTGTGTCAGTTCAAGGCAGATAGAGTCTAAAGGGGCCCTTGGCACCGTTCCAGTTCCATTGCACTTAATATTTAGCAAACACTGAGGCACCTCTGTGATATATTACATATTCAATTCAGGGAAGCATATTTCACAGGAGGTTGCTGTATCTTGTACCTTACAGCAATCCTTTGAGATCCTGGTCTGGCCTATCTCAGACTGTGAATCTGCACACACTTTCCCTGAAGCTGCTTGCTTCTGATCATTAGGTAAAACTCTTCAACTCAGTGTGCACTGTGACACTCCTGTCTTTACACCTATATGTAGTAGGTTCTCGAATGCAGCTCTCCAATGTCGTTTCATAGAACATAGAACATAGAACATTACAGCGCAGTACAGGCCCTTCGGCCCTCGATGTTGCGCCGACCTGTGAAACCAATCTGAAGCCCATCTAACCTAAACTATTCCATTATCATCCATATGTTTATCCAATGACCATTTAAATGCCCTTAAAGTGGGCAATTGTACTATTTTTGCAGGCAGGGCATTCCACGCCCTTACTACTCTCTGAGTAAAGAACCTGCCTCTGACATCTGTCTTATATCTATCACCCCTCAATTTAAAGCTATGTCCCTTCGTGCTAGCCATCACCATCCGAGGAAAAAGGCTCTGACTGTCCACCCTATCTAATCCTCTGATCATCTTGTATGTCTCTATCAAGTCACCTCTTAACCTTCTTCTCTCTAACGAAAACAGCCTCAAAACCCTCAGCCTTTCCTCATAAGACCTTCCCTCCATACCAGGCAACATCCTGGTAAATCTCCTCTGCACCCTTTCCAATGCTTCCACATCCTTCCTATAATGCGGTGACCAGAACTGTACGCAATACTCCAGGTACGGCCGCACCAGAGTTTTGTACAGCTGCAACATGACCTCATGGCTCCGAAACTCAATCCCTCTACCAATAAAACCTAACATACTGTACGCCTTCTTAACAACGCTATCAACCTGGGTGGCAAATTTCAGTGATCTATGCACATGGACACCAAGATCTTTCTGCTCATCCACACTACCAAGAATCTTACCATTAGCCCAGTACCCTGTATTCCTGTTACTCCTTCCAAAGTGAATCACCTCACACTTTTCTGCATTAAACTCCATTTGCCACCTCTCAGCCCAGCTCTGCAGCTTATCTATGTCCCTCTGTAACCTACAACATCCTTCTGCACTATCCACAACTCCACCGACTTTGGTGTCATCTGCAAATTTACTAACCCATCCTTCTACGCCCTCATCCAGGTCATTTATAAAAATGACAAACAGCAGTGGCCCCAAAACAGATCCTTGAGGTACACCACTAGTAACTGAACTCCAGGATGAACATTTCCCATCAACCACCACCCTCTGTCTTCTTATAGCTAGCCAATTTCTGATCCAAACCGCTAAATCACCCTCAATCCCATGCCTCCGTATTTTCTGCAATAGCCTGCCATGGGGAACCTTATCAAACGCTTTACTGAAATCCAAATACACCACATCAACCGCTTTACCCTCATCCACCTGTTTGGTCACCTTCTCGAAGAACTCAATAAGGTTTGTGAGGCACGACCTACCCCTCACAAAACCGTGTTGACTATCCCTAATCAAATTATTCCTTTCTAGATGATTATAAATCCTATCTCTTATAATCCTTTCCAACACTTTACCCACAACCGAAGTAAGGCTCACTAGTCTATAATTACCAGGGTTGTCTCTACTCCCCTTCTTGAACAAGGGGACAACATTTGCTAGTCTCCAGTCTTCTGGCACTATTCCTGAAGACAATGACGACATAGGATTCTGTCTTCACACACACTCACTCTAAACTGGTGTCCTCTCGCTTACTGATGTGAAAGTCATGTGATCAGTTTATGCTTATGCAGTCACAAAATGTGGGCTCAGCATTTCTTGCCCATCCCTAGTTGCCCTTGAGAAGGTGGGGGTGGGCTGCCTTCTTCAACTGCTCCAGTCCACTGCTGTAAGTTGACCCATAATGCTTTAAGGGAGGGAATTCCAGGATTTTGATCCAGCGACAGTGAAAGAACACTGATTATATTCCCAAGTCAGGATGGTGAGTTGCTTGGAGGGAACATACAGGTGGTGGAAGTTACATGTTCATAATTTTGCATGAATGTCCTTATCCCACAGGAAGAGGCCATTCAGCTATCATGTATTTGCTAGCTCTTTGGAAGGACAGTTGTATTAAATCCCAGCTGCTTTTTCTCTCTAACTGTACACATTCTAAATCCTCAAATGCCACCCAACCCCCTACAGAACTATTTACACAATCATCTTACACCAGATTATCAGGTCAATAACGTTTCTCAGTGAAAAGAAAATTCTCCTCACATTCCCTATGAATCTTTCGTGAGTGATTATAAATCTCTGATTTCTACTTAATGACCTGCTCACCAGAGGGAATAGTTTATTCAACATGTTCGATAAAAGTCTTTCATCGTCTCAGAATGGTCTAGTGGATATCCGATAACTGTTTCTGTTCCATGGAGAATATCTGAACCTTTCCAATCTTTCTTCATAACTGAGGTCCCTCATCTTGGGATCCTTTCTAATACCTTGACATTATTTCTCATGAAATGCCACAATTAACCACAATAAAAGGAAGCACATGTAAGGTTTAGGAGACTGAAATCAGACTGGGCCCTTGAGGAACATAATGGAAGCAGGAATTTGGAGGGCTAAAAGGAGCCATGAATGTCCTTGGCAATTAGGATCAAGGAGAATATCAAAGCATCATATACATATATTAGGAGCAAGATTACAATTGACTTCAATGTGGCTTCAACACCACATTCTCTACCTCCCCCAATAACTTTGTCTCTCTCAGCAGGTCTGGCAGCATCTGTGAAGGAAAAAAACAGAGTTAACGTTTCGGGTCCGGTGACCCTTCCTCAGAACATTTTCCTTCAAGTTATTCAGTGACTCTGCCCCAAGAGAAGAGTTCCAAACACTCATAACCATCAGAGAAATGAAATCCTTCTCATTTCTTCCTTAAATGGGAGACCCCTTGGTTTTCAAGATGTTTGCTCATTCCAGTCTCTCCTACAAAAGCCCACTCTTTATTTTTTAAACGTTCCGCAGGAGATAGGGGAGATACTAAATGAATATTTTGTATTAGTGTTTGCTGTGGAGAAGGATATGCAAGAGCGAGAACATGGGGAAATAAATAGCGACATCTTGAAAAATGTCCATATTACAGAGGAGGAGGCGCTGGATGGCTTAACTTGCATAAAAATGGATAAATTCCTGGGATCTGATCAGATGTACCCTAGAACTTTGTGGAAAGTGAGGGAATGAGGTTTTGTGAGTAGAACATAGGAATGTTAAAGGGACAGCCACTTTACTGGGAGGGTATTATAGGCCCCCAGAGAGTCAGCGGGAAATAGAGGAGCAAATATGTAGACAGTCACAGAGATGTGTAAGCGTAATAATCGGGTAATTATACTAAGGGATTTCAACCTTCCCAACATAAATTGGGATAGTCATAGTGTTAAGGGCTTAGAGGAGGCAGATTTCCTGAATGTATCCAGGGGAGATTTTTGTATCAATACATAGAAGACCCAATAAGGGATGGTGCAGTGCTGGGTCTGGTTCTGGGGAAAGATGCCAGACAAGTGTTCGATGTGACAGTGGGACAGCATTTTGGCGATAATGACCACAACACAGTATGGTTCAATCTGTTCTGAACAAGGAGAAAGATGGCCTGCAAAAGATGGCTTTGGATTGGGGAAAGGCAGATGTTATTAAAATAAAACAGGACCTGGCCACAGTAGACTGGGAACAGTTCCTTACGGCTAAGTCTACAGCAAAGCAATGGGGGAGATTCAAAAGGAGCTGGAGAGAGTACAGGTCCAATATGTAGCCTCTAGAGGGAAAAGTAGGAGCAATAAATTCAGAGAACCCTGGATGTCCAGGACAATTCAGGACTGGATGAGGATGAAGAGAATCTTTTTTCCTTAAAGTGGCAGCAGAATAACAATGCAGTGAGTGGGCAGAACTCATCTGCTCCGTCCACCTATTTTGCTTCTTTCATACACTTTTTTCTTAGACCTTATGTGAGGTATGAGTTTGTGAAGCATGGAGGAGATAGAGCCAGGAGGGGGGAGGGCATACCCAGTGTGGGGGATGAGAGAGGTTCCCAGGGTGTGATAGCAGTCATGCTGGGGGTGGTGGGAGCAGATAGCTCGGGCTGACCAGTGCGGCTGAGGTCGAGTGGGGGGAGTTGGAGCACATGGGAGGAGTGTGAGTCCAGCATGGCCAGGCATTTATAAACTATAGCATTGAAGTTTTAACTGCATTTCTTTGTTCTTCTACTTTTTAACAAGAAGGACTGTAATGTTTAACGTTTTAACCTTGCTTCATTATTTTTCTGCTTTGTGTCTAAGCTTCTGTACAAGATACCTTTGTACTCGAGATGGCGCCATAAGTGGCGACTTATAAACTTTTCATTGTACATATGTGAGTACATGTGACAATAAGGCTAATTCTAAATTCTAACGTTAAGAGGGGCTTTTAGCAAGTCCAAAGGGAGCAATTCAACTATGGCCCTGGAGGAATTTAGGAACTGCAGGAAGGAAATTGAGAAAGCAATTAAAAGAGTGAAAAAAGATGGGGCATGGAAAAAGACTTGTGAATAGGATTAGGGAAAATCCTAAAATAATGTATAAATACATTAAAGGGAAGAGGTTAAACAGGGAAAAAGAAGGGCCCATTAGGGACCAAGGGGGCAACCTGTGTGTGAAGCTGCAGGATATTTGAAAGTGTTGAATGAATGACTCTTCAGTTTTCAAACTGGAAAAGGAGAACATAGGTACAGAATTCAGGCAAAGAGACTGTGAGGCACTTGCACAGTTTGACATTGGAAATGGGGAGGTATTGGAGGGTCCATCAGGCTTAAAAACAGCCAAATCTCCAGTTCCAGAAGAATTGCATCCCAGGCTGCTGTGGGAGGCTAAGCAGGAAATTGCAGGGACTCTAACACAGATTTTTAAAAGCTCTCTGGCCACAAGGGATGTGCCAGAGGACTGGAGGACGGATAACATGGTTCCGCGTTTTTAGAAAGTTGGTGGAGATGAACCAGGAAATTACAGACCAGTGAGGCTCATGTCAGTGGTAGGGAAACTATTGGAGAAAATTGTGAAGGAGCGAATTAATACCCACTTGGAAAGGCATGGGTTAATTAGAGATGGTCAGCATGGCTTTGTCAGAGGGAGGTCACGCCCAAGAAATTTGTTAGAATTTTTTTGAAAATGTAATCAAGTGTATGGAAGAGGGAAGCTCAGTTGATGTAGTTTATATGGATTTTAGCAAAGCTTTTGACAATGTCCCACATGGGAGACTCATTGAGAAGGTTAAAGCACATGGAATTGAGAGAGACATGATGACGTGGATCAGAAACTGGCTCAGTAATAGGACACAAAGGGTAGGGGTAGAAGGTTGTTTGACTGGAGGCCGGCATCCAGCAGCGTACCACATTGATCAGTACTGGTATCCTTATTGCTTGTTGCTTCTTGTTCACCAGGATGTTGCCTGAGATGGAGAAATTGAGCTATAAGGAGAGACTAGATAGGCATGGATTGTTTTCTTTCAAGCAGAGAAGACTGAGTGTTGCCATGATTGAGGTGTATAAGATTATGAGTGATTATGGACAGGGTGAATAGAGAACAGCTGTTCTCCTTGGTTGAGGGGTCAATCATGAGACAGCATAGTTTTAGGGTAAGGGGCAGGAGATTCAGAGGGATTTAGAAAAACCTTTTACACTCAGTGGGTGGTGGGAATCTGGAATGCACTGCCTGGGAAGCTAGTGGAGGTTGGAAACCTTACAACGTTTTTAAAAGTATTTGGATGAACACTAGAAAGATCATAACATTCAAGGATATGGGACAAGTGCAGGAAATTGGGATTAGTTCACTTTTAGTGGTAGATGTATCAGTGCAGACTTGATGGGCTGAAGGGCCTTTTCTGTGCTGTATGGCTCTATGAATCTACGACTCTGAATCTCTAATCCTTATGATATACAAGTCATCACATCCTGCCAACCCAAAAATGACACATTTATGTCTCCCTCTGCTTCCTATTTGTCACGCTATCCTTTATCCATGAAAAATATGCTATGTCTTACATGACAGCCTGTCATTTTACACAGTGTTAATAGTGAAGGGAGAGTGCACTGTTTCTCAAGCCCCATCATTCCTGGGGTCCTCACAAAAGTAATGATTTCATCAAGATACACAAAGTCCCTAATGTACCTGTCCAATGGAATCCAGTTAACTGAAAACACTGACCAGGTTCCTGTATGTAACAAAAACTGCTTTATTATAAACAAAAAAAACTAACCATAGGCAAAACAAAACCATGAGCTAGGAACAGAAAATTTTACTGATTGAAACTCAAAAAAAACCTCAAACCCCCTTTCAAACACCTACACACACACTGAGACAGAGCCAGACAATGAAACAAAATATTGGTGTTATGCGTAGAGAGAAAATAGGGTGGACAGTGGGAGCCTTTTTCCTCGGATGGTGATGGCTAGCACGAGAGGACATAGCTTTAAATTGAGGGGTGATAGATATAGGACAGATGTCAGAGGTAGGTTCTTTACTCAGAGGGTAGTAAGGGCATGGAATGCCCTGCCTGCAAAAGTAGTAGACTCGCCAACTTTAAGGGCATTTAAATGGTCATTGGATAAACATATGGATGATAATGGAATAGTTTAGGTTAGATGGGCTTCAGATTGGTTTCACAGGTCAGCGCAACATTGAGGGCCGAAGGGCCTGTACTGCGCTGTAATGTTCTATGTTCAATAAAATACTGGGGAAATACAATTCACTAACACCAGTACACAGGATTTCATGAAATGTTCCTTTTAGTTCTGTTGACCTTCTGTTCTCCAATCTCTTCCCTTCAGCTCTTTTCATTTCTTCATTGGAAGCACAGGGAGAAAGGTGCGCTAATTGTAATATCTTTCAGTTACTAGTTAAAGGCAACAGTTGACAGCAACTGATGATAGATGATAACAGTGTTACCTACATTCTCTGTGTTTGTTTCAAACCGGAACTAGACAGTTTTCTTCCAAGCAACGGGTATTTCCTCAAGCCTGAAAAATGTTCCAAAATTTTCCATCTGAAAGCCTAATGCATCCGTTGTTTCCTTTAATCACTCATAGACTGTTCCATGCTGTCTCTCTCTGATACTGTGTTTTAGAAGAAATCACCATTACAATTGAAACATTTACAAGTTAATCATTAAACTCCATCAAACACACAGAAAACCCACATGCCACTAAATCATAATTCAAAAATCCAAAAGAAGTGACATTATAATGTATATAAACCATGCACCTTATATCATACCATTCTGCAGACTAGCATTTTCATTACTCATCAAAAATGATCTTAACTCTATTGTTACGTCACATTGATGGTAGGATTATGTTGATATTAACAATAGAATGAGTTACACATTAAACGTACTTGATATAAATCTACAGGCATCATGTCACTTGATGTCCTTCACATGTTCTCTTAATGAATCATCCACTCTGACATTTTCCTTTCTAGCACTTGACCACTTTTAAAATGAGAATTAGGCTCCAAATTAATTTATAAATCTTTTAAACACCTTCATGTTTTCAAATCAGATTCTTGAAGGGTCAATTTTTGAATTTTCAATTTCTGATCCATTCTCCAATTTTGCTGATATTTCCATTCCACTCCTTATCCTTTCACCAGCAAAAGTACACTTTGCTCCTTACTATCATCCCTGGCATAACATCTATTCAACATATTCAACGCTCACTGATTAATTCTCCTGTCTGGACTACTGATTATGTAACTCACACTGAGTTTCAGTCCAGTCCAGTGATCATTGCTTATAATGCTTCCCTGGTGATAAGTAACAATACAAACACATTGTCTCCCACAACAACATGTTGAACTTTAGCCTTTTTAAGCAGCTCTAGTTTTCATTGTTTATTGGGTATCCTTCAAATGCTTTTTAGCCAACTCACATGTTTTGATTAATTTCTCTCTGAAATAGATCGGAAGGTTATTTCTGAAATTTGGTTTATCAACTTCTCTTTAATTAAGTTAAGTTGTTCTCTCACCTTATATTGGTTCAAAGGGACTAAATCCAATGGACTCATGAGGAGCATTCTAATGACAAACCGTGCAAAGAAGCTCCCTTATCGCAATCATGACAGCATTCTTCTCAATAAGCTCTAACCATGGTTTCAAAGTTTGATGCCATCATTCCAATGTCCTAGAGAGTGTGTGTATTAAGGTGAAAACAACACCTTCCAAACCCACGACCAATTCCATCTAGAAGGACAAGGTCAACAGATACATAAGAATACCAACCCCTACAAGTTCCCTCCACTCATCAACCTGACTGGGAAATATATCACTGTTCCTGGGTCAAAATCCTGGAACTCCCTCCCTAAGTGCATTGTGGGTCTACCCACAGCACATGGCCTGCAGTGGCTCAAGAAGGCAACTCAGCAACACTTTCTCAAGGACAATTAGTGATGAGCAATAAATGCTCGCCCAGCCAGCAATGCCCATATCCCATGAATGAATAATAAACAAAACTGCTGAAAATACTCAGAAGATCAAGAAGAGTCTGTAGTGTGTGAAACTGAGTTGGTGTTACAGGTTGCTATTGAGCATCAGAACCAAACTCTATCCAAGTTAACAAATCATCCCAAGACCATGAGTCCATCATGATAACAAAGGTGAGTGGATCCCTCTCTATTTTTACACAGCTATTCCCATGTGACTCCTTACATTCCTGACTCCCAGAAGCACATACTTTGCTCACACTGACTGACACAGCAAGGACATGGAGAATGGTCAATTGGCTGCTGCAAGGTGACCTTTGTGGTGACTTTGATGATAGAATCCTAGAATCCCGATGGTGTGGAAACAGGACCTTTGGCCCAATAAGTCCACACTGACCCTCAGAGCATCCCACCCAGACCCATCCCCGTGTAACCCACCCAATCTACACATTCCTGAACACTATCGGCAATTTAGCATGGCCAATCCATCCTAGTCTGCACATCTTTGGACTGTGGGAGGAAACCGGAGCACCCAGAGGAAACCCATGCAGACACGGGGAGAATGTGCAAACTCCACACAGACAGTTGCCCGAGGGTGGAGTCGAACCTGGGTCCCTGGCGCTGTGAGGCTCACTGATAGCTCATATGTGGGAATGATAGCTCAATATGAGCCAATACCCAGGATCAATCAGGAAAGGAATAATCTTAGCAAAACAATATTACGATGAGAAAGACCTGGGAGTAAAATCAAACAATGCCTTGGAGTCTGGGTGTGGGATCATCGGTTAGAATCCACAATCTGTCCAAGTGACTGGAAATTGAAGGCTAAGTAAGATGGAAATAAAGATTTAAAATGTTTTTGTTGGTTTAATTTTTCTTGCCTGAGCTTTGAATATCTCTCAGTAAATACCTCTCCCTTTCTGTCTCCCTCCCCCTTCAGGCTTGTGAACGGGATTTACAGTGTGGCAGAGGATGGTGCTGTGCTGCCAGTGTATGGCTGAGAGGACTGCAGCTATGTACCCCTGAAGGAACACACGGGGATGAGTGTCACCCCTTCAGTCACAAGGTTGGATGTTGCTGCTCTCACTCTTGTCTGTTGTGTTAGAGTTTCCCAAGTTTTGTCCCTTACAGGAGGTCTAAAATCTTCCTAGCTCACCTGAATGATGGTTACCTTAATGACCACAATTGATTGTTGGAAAAACCTATCTGGTTTACTAATGTCCTTCAGAGAAGA